CTTCCCATACACCCCTAGAGGCAAAAACATATAGACTTCTTCATGCAGGTCGCCATTCAAGAAGGCATTTTTAACATCAAACTGGTGTAGGGGCCAATCAAAAGTAGCGGCTAGAGATAACAAAACCCTGACTGAGGTCATCTTAGCGACTGGAGCAAATGTCTCAAGATAGTTAATGCCATACATTTGAGTGTAGCCCTTAGCAACCAACCTAGCCTTAAACCTCTCAATAGAGCCATCAGAGTGATATTTAATGGTGAACACCCATTTACAACCCACTGGTTCCTTTCCTTCAGGCAAGTCAACAATATCCCAAGTATGGTTCTTATGCAAAGCATCCAATTCAGCCATCATAGCATCCCTCCATTCAGGTTGAGATAAGGCTTCCGGTACGGACCTGGGTATCACATGGGAAGAAACAAGTGCAAGAAAAGAGTAGTAGGAAGGAGAGAGAAGGCTGTAAGACAGGTGTTTGGAGATACAATGGGTTGTACATTTCCGCTTGCCCTTGCGGAGAGCAATAAGAAGGTCAAGGTTTGGGAAAGTTGTAGATGGGTCAGAAGAAGGCTGACCTGTTACCTCAAGAATGATGGGAGGAGCAAGAGGCTCTTCTGAAGGAGTGGAAACAACCTGCCCATGTCTGAATCTCTGCCTTTGGTACCACCTTTGGAGAACAGGAGGAGGAGGAATTATAGGAGAATGAGGTGGAGGAGGAATAGGAATATCGGAGGTAGGTCCAGTGGTAGAAGTGGACACCTCATGATAGGACTCAAGAGAAATGGGAAGAGGAATAGCTGGAGACATAGCAAAGGGCTCAACAGATTTCTCCCCCTCAGGAGGAATGCTAAAGAAAGGAGTCAACTCAGCAAAAGTGACATCCCGAGATACAAAACGGGTGCCACGAACTGGATCAAAGCAGCAATATCCTTCTGTGTGGAAGCATATCCTAGAAAAACACATTTATGAGCCTTAGGTTCAAACTTGTGCCTTTGATGACTGTGAATATGCACATAGCAAGTGCACCCAAAAACACAAAGAGGAAGAGAAAAGATATCCTCACCCGGGAGGGCATACGGTTGATAAAAAAAGTAGCAGTAAGAACAGCATCTCCCCAAAATTTTATAGGAACATGGGATGCAAACAAGAGGGATCTGGCAACTTCAACCACATGTTTGTTCTTCCTTTCCGCCACCCCGTTTTGTTGTGGAGTGTAAGAACAAGAACTTTGATGAATAACCCCAAAAGTTTCAAGATAGGTGGAGATGGTTCTCTCAAAATACTCCTTAGCATTATCAGAACGGAATATTTTAATACGTGTTAAACTGTGTGAGGATGAGTTCATGAAATTTTTGCACAATAGTTGGTACTTCATCCCTGGATTTCATGAGATAAATCCAAGTGTAGCGCAAATAGTCATCAATAAAAAGGATAAAGTACCTGTAACCCCCCATAGTTGGCAAATAATATGGCCCCCACACGTCAAAGTGAACAATATGGAAAGGAGAAAGAGATCTTTTATTGCTTACTGAATAGGAATGTCTACAATGCTTTGCCAGTTCACACGACTCACA